AGATTTTTCTAATTTCTTTTTCTTCCAAGTGAAATAAAGACAAAGTAGAATTATTGGAAGACTGACAGCAAAAGCACGCAATCCCAAAATGAGCCAAACAGATGGACCTGTTTGAAGAAAAAGATAACATTAGTTTACTGATGACTTTTCTTTAACTTTAGTCTCTTACTGTACATAATATTTTTAGGTTCAGGAGCTCAAAGATTTGTTAAATATTTATTTATACTTGTACTTTAAAAAAATGCACCTAAGATTAAATTAATTACTTGAATTGGTAACAAGTACTTCAATAAAGTTTGGCTAACTTTATTTATTTAGGTTTCCAACCTATAAACCTGATAAATTAAGTAGATCAATTGGTTTTAATTACTTGTTACCGATAGAAGCAATACTTTTAAGTTGGAGCTGCATTTTCCTTTTAGTGTTCTAATATACCAAAGTTGATTACTGCTGTCAGGACTATAAGGTAAGGTAATTGACTGTGTCTCCTTACCCACACTATGATGTTTAATTGTTGGAGGGACAGTTGTTGGTTCAACACACAGGGTGTTATTTTCTTGATACACCCATTTAGCTATTGTTGTCCCATTGATGGTGCAGTTAATGAATATGAAGCCTAGAAACAAACAGGATTATATGTCATGTAGGATCATAACCATCAACTAGTTTATCGAATCTTTTCTCACTCACCACAGTCAGGAATGTTGATCTCGTTGGAGGATGAACTGACTTGATTCCTAACTGAGCAGAAAAGATGCCCTGATATATTCGGTTTTAGAACGATGATGTTAGTCTGATTATTTCCAGAGAGGAGTTCAGAGTCTGTCAGTGTTTTTCCATTCAGAGTCCAGCTGTACTGAGGACTGTCCCCTTCAGAGAGACAGGACACCTTGATCTTTCCCTGGGACCAACACTGATGGACCAGCTGGACAGAAGACACAGGAGCTGAGAGAGAAAAACACATTGATTACAGGAAACATCTTTTTTTTTAAAGAAAAAGCTCCAGAACAACATGATAGCTGTATCATCCATGGTGAAAAGGTTAAAGTTGTGGACATGTATAAGTATTTTAAAAACTGGAAAAATACAGAATTTATATTGAAAGCTGTTATAAGATGTTTGGATTTAGAATCAGTACAATGATTACCACAACATTTAAAGTAGTGGAAACAAAACAAAGAGTAGAAAATGTAAAAAGGTAGAAGATAAAACGTGGATTACCTTGAACACACAGCTGCATAGTTCTAGATCCTGTTTCCCTTCCATCTTTACCAATCATTCTAAGTTCATATTCACCGCCGTCACTCATCTTCAGGTCATTGATCNTAAGATGTTTGGATTTAGAATCAGTACAATGATTACCACAACATTTAAAGTAGTGGAAACAAAACAAAGAGTAGAAAATGTAAAACAGTAGAAGATAAGCAGTGAATTACCTTGAACACAGAGCTGCATAGTTCTATATCCTGTTTCCATCCCATCTTTACCAAACATTTCAAGTTTATATTCACCGCTGTCACTCATCTTCAGGTCATTGATCATAAATGATCCATTATTTGAATAAAAGACAATTTTTCCATCAATCCAGCCTTCTCTTTGTTTGTTGGTAAACCCCTTAAATACACTGTTATTCTTTGCTAATTGAACACTGCGTAATTGTGAGGCGTCGTTCTCCAGTGGAAGCTCCACTGATCCACCCAAAGCTCCATAATACTGAGCTCCATCTTGTCGGCCATCACAGGAAACAGCTGCACTTTAAAGAATAATATTAATCACTATCTTCCATCAAAATAAATAACATACTTAATTCTTCATCATGGGCTTCTTTCGTCCACTGTCACCTATATTTGTGTATTTGTCCAACATCACAGTGACTTTAATGAAACACAGCTGTGATGGAAAAAAGCAAATAGCTTCTAGAAACAGCAGTTTAACTTAAAACAGAAAAAGATAGTTATATACAGAATTTGTATTTATTTATAGAATTGTAATTTCAGATTGGGAATCTGTTTTTGTGCCAAGAACTCACATTATTTTAAAAAAAGAAACCTGTAGTAAATTAAAGGTGCTGCTTAGCTCATTACTGCTACATGGAGAGAGAAAAAAATACACTTTTCTTTATATCTTATTAGGAAAAAAATAGATACAACATTTCATTTTAAATAAACGTGATTTCAAGAAAAATTCTGAATCTTTCTCAAAAATTCTATATACATTCAATTAATAAAATGAGCAGCATCAAGATTTCAACACCGGAGTTTTACTCCTAGAAATATTTAATGTAATGTTCAATTGATTTGTATAATGCTAAATATTTTAACTTAAACTTTACAAGAAATGGAAGAGGATGAAAAACTTAACAAGAAATTTGACAAACATATTTTTTCAAACAATTTA